ACCTCTTTGAGGAAGATGTGGTGGCAGCTGCAGCACAGCTGGGGTCCACCTGCTCCTGCCTCACTGCTGTTTGCTCTCACCCAGGAACAAGTCGGTCAGAAAGCTGTGCACTGCAGCCATGGCTTACAGATACCAGAAAGACTCCCGCAAAGCCCGAAGTGGGGATTCACTGAATGTAAATGCCCTGGAGAATCTGTGCTGACTTCATCAGAGGCACACAGGAAAAGAATATCAAAGTAAAAGAATGAGTTTGGATGCCCACCAAGACTCTGAGAATCACTATGCGATTTAAACTCCTTGGGCTGAAGGTATTACGATTCCTAAGATTTTCCAAAGTCAGTTCTTGACAAGGAATCACAAGCCACTCACTGACTTGCACAGTCCTTCAGAGATTATTAAGCATATTACTTCCATCAGTATCGAATGGTTGAAGTCACTACTGTAGATATTTACACCAACTATTTCAATAAATTATCATTTGTTAAAAAAGTGTGATATGATCATAATAATCTGTGAGAAAAATTGTTCCATGACCTTTAACAATTTTTGTCGAAACATTAAAAACACTCACTGTTGGTTACAAATGTATAAGGAAATGAAAACAATAGCAAAAGTACTATTTATTTAATATACTATTTTATTTTTTTTAAGTTTATTTATTTATTTATTTGAAAGAGAGAGAGAGCAAGCAAGAGTATGAGCAGGGGTAAGGGTGAGAGGGAGAGTGAGAAGTAGACCCCCCCCCCCCCGCCCCTGAGCAGGGAGCCGGTGTGGGACTCAATCCCAGGACTCTGGGATCATGACCTGAGCCGAAGGCAGACACTTAACCGACTGAGCCACCTAGGTGCCCTAATAGATTATTTTAAAACATCAGAAACATTGAGAATTAAAGTGGTTTTTTTAATTTGTAAAAACTTACCAAGGGCACTTTGAATTGTTTCCTCCTTCTCATGGTATAATTACAATACAGAGCAAGCATCTTTTCCATGCCTTAGTGAACTGTCATATTCCTTTCTTCTAAGTTTGCATTACCTTCCATCACTTCATCCATTGTGCCTTCAAAGCTGTGAAGTATTTCTCAGAATTCTTTCAATGTGAAGTTTTCTGATAGTGCCACTTCCTGGGGACAACTTCATTCTTCTCATCACAACCACTTTCCTCATTCATGTTGATAAGTTGACCTTCCCCAGGTCCCCAGATTTCTCTGGCTGCACATTCAGAGTCTCTTGAATGTCTACCTTTCCACAAGCAGAGGTTTCTTCCATGATTTCATTTATGTTTCATTCAAATTTCATTTCCAGCATTTTCACTTTTTATTTCATTATTGCACTTTCACCTTTGTCAATTTTCTCTCTCGATTTCCCATTTTGTAAAATATTATGTGGATTTACCACCAGGTAAGAAGGAGACAACTTAACTGTCCACTTGGCACTCTGTGTGTAAAGTGAATGACAGATGTGTAGTGACCAATCAATGAGACTTTGAAAGACGTGATGTGATTGGTAACAGATCATGATATATGTCTGTTCTTTATGTGGTGATTTGTGAATTGAAGGGCAGGTAGCTATTACTTTATGTAAGTACTCAAATTTCAAATCCTGTGGTAATTGGAATTTGAACCATGTTGTTGGGGGACTGAGGTAATTTAACTAAACCACAGTAACTGAAAGTCATGCATATAGGAACTGTGTAAAGTGAGGTTTGCCTGTCATTTAACTCATTATTTTAAGACTTTTCTACTAAGACAAACTAATTCAGAGTACAGTAAAAATGTGCATGCATGCTTAAGATGAAATATGAGACTTGAATGAAATTGTGTTCTTCACCTACAGATTCCCGGGTATATGAGGTATTCTCTGTCATTAGGAGACTTTAGTGGTAAAGTTTGAGAAGCAGAGCCTTATTATGGATAGAATGATCCGATACGTAACTTGGTCTAAGTTGGCCTAAGAGAAAAGTTGATTAGTGCAGACAGGTGATTTAGATGGCACCAAGGAATACATTATTAATGAGATATACATTATTTCCTGTGAAGACGAAACAGGTATTTTCCACTATCTTTCTAAACTTCCTAAAACTTCGTGTAGGTAGCTTTGTTCAAGTGACAATGAGTGAGGGAACTTGTGAAGGAGGAGGAAGGGATTTAAAAGTACAGAGCTTTAAAAGTATATGCTCATTTTCCCCTTACATCCCAAAGTTCCAAATGCTTACTTAGGATAAACAAGACTTTCTTCCTATACCCTCAGAAGATTTAAAACTGTTTATGACAAAAGTATAAGTATAATAAGACTAAACATTTCCAGATAAAAACTAAATCTAGGGGCGCCTGAGTGGCTCAGTGTGTTAAGCGTCTGGCTTTGGCTCAGGTCATGATCTCAAGGTCCTGGGATTGAGCCCCGTGTTGTAGGGCTCCCTGCTCAGTGGGAGCCTGCTTCTCCACCTGCATTTCTGCCTGCTTCTCTGTCTCTGCCCCTCCCCCTGCTCGTGCTCTCTCTCTCTCAAAGAAATAAAATCTGTAAAAAAATAAAATTGAAAAATAAAATTAAAATCTAGTGCAGTGATGAGAGAAAAGATAAGAATTGACATGGTTCATTACGTATTTTTCCGGGGATCCATTATTAGCATTATAGGAAGAAATCTTGGAGAACAGTTAATATGTTCTTATTGCAAAATAAGTTTTAAGGCACTGGAAAGAATCTGAAGGGGAAAATATTTTTTCCTGTTGGGTGAGAGATCCATAGTCTAAATGTAAGGAGAGAAGGTAAGAGGGATATAGAAACAAAAAATTTCAAGCTGCTACTATACACCACAGCATGTTAAATACCTTTCCTGTTTTATAATGTTTAATTGTGATTAAAACCCTGAGATGTAGGTATCAAATAATGCTATTTTTACATCTGAAAAATCTGAAGGTCACCAAGTTAGAGTTTGGAAAATCCAGATTAACCTAATTCTAACTCCATTCACAGGTAATATGCCAGATGTGTTACTATGTAAGAGTAAACATGAAAATGGTAGAGTTTGATTTATATTCTTGCCCTAATTTGAGAGCTAACTTCCTTCTCCTTAGAAGGACTTTTGCCTTCATAATGACTCTGCCACACATTACTTGAAGTCTTCTCAGAATCCCCAGGCACAGTGAACTCTTCTTTGTATTTCAGTAACAATTGTATAGACCTCTATTAGAGCTTCACCATGATTTTTGTTTACATGGTTAGAAGCCATCAAACTGATTTCAAAATCTGCAGACAAGGCCACAAGTAACTGGTTAACTTCTGCCTGCTTTGGGTTCAGTTCACTCTTCTTTCTCTAGTATCTTAAGGTAGAAGGTTAGGCTATTGATTTGAGATCTTTCTTCTTTTTTAGTGTAGGTGTTTACAGCTATAAAATTTCCCTTCAAGCACTGCTTTAGCTGCATCCCATAAGTTTTGCTATGTTGTGTCATTTTTAGTAATCTCAAAGTATTTCCCAATTTTTCTTGTGATTTTTTCTTTGACGCATTGCTTATTTAGGAGGCTATTTAATTTCCATGTATTTGTCAATCTTCCAAATTTCTTCATTAGTGATTTTTAAATTTACTTCACTGTGGTCAAAGAACATACTTGGTATGATTTCAATCCTTTTAAATTTATTGAGATTTATTCAATTTCCCAGCCTATGGTCTATCTTGGTATATGTTCCATAAGCATTTGAAAAGAATGTGCATTCACCTGTTACTTGAGAGAAGACTTTTATAAATGTTAATTAGATCAAGTAGGTTGATATTATTTTGGTTTTCTATATCCTTATTTATTTTCTATTCCATCAATGATTAAAGGAGGGGTAATGAAATCTCCAATTATAATAGTGAATTTGTCTACTTCTCCTTTCTGTTTTGACAGCTGCTGCTTCATTTATTTGGAAGCTCTGTCCCTGTGTGCATATATATTTATGATTATTATGTCTTCTTGAGGGATTGATCCCTAAAGATCATTATGTACTGTTGCTCTTTATTTCTGTTAATACTCCTCATTCTGAAGTCGACTTTGTCTGATACTAAAACAGCCACTCTACCTGTCTTATGTTTAGTGTCTGCATGGTATATCTTTATATTTCAAGTATACAGCTGACCTTTGAACAACATCGGTTTGAAATGTGCAGGCCCACTTAAATGCAGATTTTCTCCAATAGATACAGTACAGTACTGTAAATGCATTCTCTTTCTTATGATTTTCTTAGTAACATTTTCCTTTCTCTAGCTTACTTTATAAGAATATAGCATATAATATATAAAAAATGCAAAATATGTATTAATCAACTGTTTATGTTATCATTAAAGCTTCCAGTCAACAGTGGGCTATTAGTAGTTAAGCTCTGGGGGAAAGTTATACATGAATTTATGACTGCGGCAGTGGGGGATGAGGTAGTCAGCACCCTTAACCCCCATCTTGTTCAAGGGTCAACTGTAGTCAGGTTTTGTTTTTTAATCACTTTGATATCTTTTAATTGCAGCATTTAGACCATTTATATTTAAAGTTATCATCAATATGATTGGGTTTAAATCTATTATCTTGCTATTTGTTTTCAGTTTGTCCCATCTAGTCTTTGTTTTTCTTTTTATTCTTTTTTTCTTTTTTTTAATCTTTTAGATAACCTGGGTATTTTAAAAAGATTGTATCACCACTGTTGGCTATTAGCTATGCCTCTTCATTTTTTTAGTGATTACTCTATAGCAGGGGTTGACAAACTATGGTCCATGATGAAAGCTGGCTTGCTGTCTGTTTTTGTAAATAAAGTTTTCTTGAAACATAGCCACCATCCATTTGTTCAAATACTCTTTATGGTTCCTTTCATGACACAGAAGCAGAGTTAGGTAGTTATAACAAAGACCATAAGGCCCACAAAGCCTAAAATATTTACCATCTAAACCTTTACAGAAAAAGTTTGCTTATTACTTCTATGGTTTAAATTTAAGAATTAAGATCCAATAACAAAATTCAATTCCTCTGACGATTACTCACGTTGTTTTCTTGGTTCTTGTTGTTCTTCAAGAGTGTAATAATACAATTATGAATAAAGAAAGCAAGGGTAAGCACTCCAGTCAGCTGTGGAAACTGAAATCTTATCTCTAGGAGAAAAAGAGAGTGGAAAAAAAAAAAAAAAAACCACAATACATTAAAACTGACAGCCAGAAAACGAATGTTAGTAGCCAAAAGTTGACTGCCAAAAATTAGTTGCCTCTGCCTTATCCAGGGAATAAGAATATTAAAATGTCTTTACAAAGTTCCTCAAGGCTGGCATTATACTTGAGCAAAGTACTGGAAAAGGGAAAGAAAAGGAATTAAGAAATGACTACTCTGTGAGGGTATTTCACATCAGTTAATGCTGTTTGAGGTCACACAACGAGTGTGTGGCACGGCAGGTTTCCAAGTTAGAACTCTAAAGGTCTTCCTCTTCTAATACCTGAATTTGCCAGAAAAACACCTTTAGAAAAGGAATCAGAAAAAGGGAGAACTGGTTATTTAACATTTTTCAAGGGCTAATGTAAAAGGCACTGCTTAAAAATACAGAAATAACAAATGTCTACACAGAGGGGAATGCTTAAACTAGGATATAATTGCTCTGTGGTATATAGTACTTAAGAATTATGTTCTAAAGAAAGGTTTTATGCTATGGCAAATGTTAACGACTCAAATAGCATGTATAGTATGATTTTACATTTATTTTTAAAAGTTTGTGTGTGTATATATATACATAGGTATGCTAAGAAAAAGGATTGGAGGAATAATCACAAAAGTTTAAATAGTGATTATCTCTAAATTTTCTATAATAAATTCAAAGTTAATATGAAATAAGAACAATAAAATAATAAATATTTCAAAAGTACTGCCAATTTCTGTCTTTGAGGTTTGCTAACACAAAAATGAAAAACTGCTTTTATGTAGAATAAGACCAAGATTTACAGTGCTATATCTAGGCAAAGTAGGTGGCAAAAGTGAAGAACAACCTGTCTCAAGGCATTCCTTAGTTATAAAAAGAAAAGAAAGTCCACTGATTTTTGCAATAGTATTTAGGAAAGGAAATAAGAACAACTAAGAAGCAAGCACTGGCTCTGAAATAAATCAGGATATAAGAGTTTAAAAATTATATACTTTAGTTTTCCATTAAGTTTTTGTTGGTCTCTTAGCTTTCATCTAAATTTTCATTTGCAGAAGCAATTCAAAGTCTATTTTTCTGGGGTGCCTGGGTGGCTCACTCAGTTAAATGTCTGACTCTTGGTTTTGGCTCAGCTCATGATCTCAGGGTTGTGAGATCGAGCCCCGTGGTGGGCTCTGCACTGGGCATGGAGCCTGCTTAAGAGTCTCTCTCTCCCTCTCCCACTGCACCCACCCCTCCCACCCATGTACACATGCTCTCTCTAAAAAAAATAAAATAAAATAAAAAAATTTTTCTCAGGAAAAATTTCCCCTTTTCTGTCTATAATCTTTTAACTCTTTTTTACATCTAAGCAATAAAATAAAATGTGGGGGCAACTCCCACTTCTGTTTAAAAAAATAAAAATTTTAAAACAACTTTATTTTTAAGTAATCTCTACAACTAATGTGGGGCTTGAACTTACTTCGAGATCAAGAGTTGCACTCTCTACTGACTGAGCCAGCCAGAGCCCCACTGCCAAAACCAACTCTTAATACACTGGGCATATAAGGATACATTGATCACTTCAGATCAATAATCAGAATTATATTTATATAATAGTAAGAGAGGTACCATTTTTGGAAATATGATAAAATTATTATTTACACGACTGTATTCTTTGCAGAACAATAACTGAAAAACTCTTTAGTAAGAATTCAAAGTCATCAAATCACAAAGGAAGAGAGCAAAAGAGAATGAAAGGAAAAAAGGAATTACAAAACAACCAGAAATCAATTAATAAAATGACAGTATTAAGTCCATACCTATCAATAATTACTTTATTTTATTTATTTTTTTCTTGTGCACATCCAGGATGATTTCCTTGGGATGACTTTCTAGAAGGAGTATTTTTTTTTAATATTATGTTCAGTTAGCCACTGTATATATCAAAAATTATTTTAAATGTAAATGGACTAAATTCTCCAACCAAAAGAAAAAGAGTAGCTGAATGGATAAAATAACAAGACTCAACCAGATGTTGCCTACAAGAGACTCACTTCAGCTTTAAGGACACACATAGACTCAGAGTGAAGGGCCGGGAAAAGATATTTCATGCAAATGTAAAACAAAAGAAAGCAGGGCTATATGTATATCCAAAAAAATAGACTTTAAACCAAAGACTGTATCAAGAGACAAAAAAGGTCATTATATAATAATAAAGGGATCAACTCATCAAACATTTGCAAATATTTATGCTCCCAACATAGGAGCACCTAAGTACATAAAGCAAATATGAACAGATCTGATGGGAGAAATAGACAGCAATATAATAATAGTAGAAGGCTTCAATATACCATGTTTAACAATAAATAGATCACCCAGACAGAAAATCAATAAGGGAACATTGAACTTAAATGACACATTACACCAGATGTACTTGATAGACATTTACAAAATATTCCATCCAATAACAGAATACACATTCTTCTCAAGTGCACATGGAACATCTCCAGGATACATCACATGTTAGCCCACAAAGTATGTCTCAACAAATTTAAAAGAACTGAAATCATACCAAACATCTTTTCCAACCATGATGGTTTGAAACTAGAAATCAATTACAGAAAAAAAAAAACTGGAAAATTCACAAATATGTGGAGATGAAGTAACATGTTACTGAACAACCAATGAGCCAAAGAAGGAATCAAAAGAGAAATCAAGATGTTGAGACAAATGAAAATGGATACAACTTACCAAAACTTAAAGGATGAAGCAAAAACAGTTCTATGAGGTCAGTTTATGGTGATAAACATCCACATTAAGAAACAAAAAAGATCTCAAATAAACAACCTAACTAGATGCCTGGGTGACTCAGGTGGTTAAGTGTCTGACTCTTGATTTTGGCTCAGGTTATGATTTCAGGTTCCTGGGATTGAGCTCCATGTTAGGCTCTGCACTAAGTGGGGGGTCTGCTTGAGGATTCTCCCGCTTCCTCTGACCCTTCCCCCGCTTGAGCTCATGCTCGTTCGCTCACTCTCTCGAAAACACATAAATAAATCTTAAAGAAAAAAACCAACTTTATACCTCAAGTAATAATGAGAAAAAAAGAACAAATTAACCTAAAGTAGAAGAAATGAAATAACAAAGATGAGAGCAGAAATAAGTGAAATAGAGACTAAAAAGACAATAGAAAAGATGAATAAAACTAAGGTATTTTTTTGAAAAGATAAACAAAACAGATAAACCTTTAGCTAGATTAAACAAGAAAAAAGAGAGAGGACTCAAATGAAAAAATTATAAATGAAAGGGGAGACATCACAACTGATAGCACAGAAATACAAAGATTTATAAGAGACGACTGTAAACACTTATACACCAACAAACTGGACACCAACAAATTGGACTTAGACACCAAGAGATAGATACATTACTAGAAACATACAAACTACCAAGACTGAATCATAAATGGAAAATATGAACCGACCAATTTCTAGTGAGGAGATTGAATCAGTAATAAAAAATCTCCCAATAAAGAAAAGTCCAGGCAGGACCAGATATCTTCACTGGTGATTTCTAGCAAACATATGAAGATGAACTAATACTAATCCCTTTTAAACTCTTCCAAAAAAATAAAAGAGGAGGGAACACTTCCAAACTCACTTTATGAGGCCAGTATTACCCTGATCCTGATATCAAATTAAGGCAAGGACACTACAAAAAAAGAAAATTACAGGGCAATATCCCTGATGAACATAGATGCAAAAATCCTCAACAAAACATTAGCAAACTGAATTCTATACCATGATTAAGTGGGATTAATTCTAGGGATACAAGGACAGTTCAACATCCACAAATCAATCAACATGATAGACCACATTAATAAAACAAGGGATAAAAATCATATGATCAGCTCAATGGATGCAGAAAAAGCATTTCACAAACTTCAATATCCATTTATGATAAAAACTCTAAACTGGGTATGGAGGGAATGTACATCAACATAATAAAGGCCATGGCCAACATAGTACTCAACAGTGAAAAGCTGAAAGCTTTTCCTCCAAGATCAGGAATGAGAGACAGGATGCCCACTCTCACCATTCTTATTCAACACAGTACTAGAAATCCTAGCCAAAGCAATTAATCAACAAAAAGAAATAAAAGGCCCCCAAATCGGAAAGGAAGAAGTAAAACTGTCTCCATTTGCAGATGACATTATATATAGAAAACTCTAAAGACTCCACCAAAAAACTTACAACTGGGGCGCCTGGGTGGCTCAGTTGTTAAGCGTCTGCCTTCAGCTCAGGTCATGATCCCAGGGTCCTGGGATCGAGCCCCACATCGGGCTCCCTGCTCCGCGGGAAGCCTGCTTCTCCCTCTCCCACTCCCCTTGCTTGTGTTCCCTCTCTCACTATGTCTCTATCAAATAAATAAAATCTTTAAAAAAAAAAACAACTGTTACAACTAATAAATAAATTCAGTAAAGTTTCAGGATACAAAATCAATATGCAAAAATCTGTTGCACTTCTATACACTAACAATGAACCATTAGAAAGAGAAATTAAGAAAACAATTCCATTTACAATAGTATCGGAAAGAATAAAGTACTTAAGAATCAATTTTAACCAAAGAGGTGAAAGACCTGTAAGGTGAAAACTATAAGACAGTAATGAAAGAAACTGAAGATGACACAAATAAATGGAAAGATATTCCATGTCCATGTTTGAAGAATTATTACAGTTAAAATGTCCATGCTACCCAAAGCAATTCAATGCAATCCCTATTAAAATTCCAATGGCATTTTTCAAAGAAATAGAACAAACAATCCTAAAATGTGTATAGCATCACAAAAGACCCTGAAAGCCAAAGCAGTCTTGAGGAAGAGCAAGACTGAAGATAGCCCAATCCCGGATTTCAAACTACAGTACAAAGCTATTGTAATCAAAACAGTATGGTACTGGCAAAAAAAGAGACACAGAGATCACTGGAACAGAA